TCGCACAGAAGTGTTCGTAGAAATAACATGACGTGATGTGATTGTGGTTATAGTGTCAAAGTTACTGTCGGCTTCTAGAAGGCCTTGTTCTAAATACGGTCTACCACACACACTCTTCGCTTCTTGTGTGATAGTCTCTTCCCATCTGTTAACCTTTTATCATAAGAAGTTATACATTTACCTTATAAATGCATCTTTTAGCTACTGAAATATATGTTCACTCTGAATTATAACAATAAACAAAACCAAAACAACAATGGTAGAAAATCTAGAATCCATAAAAAAAGTACTGATAATTTTCTGCGGGGACATTAAGTTTATGGACATTTACATTCAACCTACAACACAACAGTGCATGATTCAAAATATTAGAAAAAACACCTGTGGAAAAATCCTTCATATTACAGTGTGCTTTATTTTACTGACTTTTTTTGTGAATTTTTTCACAGCCTTTTTACTGTTTAATTTTTTTAAAAATAATATTTTCAGAATTCTATATTTATTTGTCTGATGTTGCTTATTGTGTGAAAAAATTTAGTTTAAATTAAATTAAATTAAATTAAATTTAATTTAATTTAATTTAATTTAATTTAATTTAATTTAATTTAATTTAATTTAATTTAATTTAATTTAATTTAAATTAATTTAATTTAATTTAAATTTAAATTAATTTAATTTAATTTAATTTTAATTTTAATTTAATTTTAATTTTAATTTAATTAAGAATACACATGTTAAAACGGTTTAGTAATTGATTTTGAAAGGAGTGATTGATTTTATCTGTGGTTTCTCTCAGGCCACACAGTACCTGATTGTCCTTTGTCTTATGTTGATTGCTATTTAAATAAGCATGGTTTATTGTTGAAGTAATGCTGAAACCAGTTGCATTCTTTTGTTGTCGTCATCCCTGTGGCCACAAGATGGAGATCTTGTATTTGTGCTTAGAGAGTCATGCTGTGACCTATGCAGATTTGCTCTTGGTCTGTCAGTAACATGTAAGTATACATAAATCCATACATTTCCTAAACCACAGGCACATTAATTCAATGCACACATAAATTCAATGCGCACACATTTTAATGCTGAATAGTTTAATGGGAGAAATTCCCGTGCAGAGTTGCATCCTACAATCATTTCATGAGAAATACGAGGCTATGTAATTTTCTTTGTCAGTATCATGTGTTATGAATCACAAAAGAGTGCATTAATCAGGGTTTCAGGTTTTATTTGATGCAGCGCTTGTATTCACAGGCCATATGATGATACTGTAAGTGTGCATGAGTCACCTTTAATCTCTCTGCATGTGCCTGCAGGTAAATGCCAGCCCATATGTGCCAAATAATCTCCTAATGTTTCGATCTAAAGGTTCGTGAGCTATTCAAACACAGCTTTGTTCATAAAGTTTAACTCCTAAACAGTGCTGAAGAAAATCACCGCTTATCAAATTACTGCACATAGTTGCCCAGGGATTTGTCAGTGTGTTCAGAGATCATGTACTGTACTTAAGCTATATGCATTATAACTATATAGCAAAATATGTCATGATGTGTAAAAAGAGTTTAAATGCGCATAACCCATGTTGAAGCACGTTACCTCTGAACACACTCATAAATCTTAGATGAGTATTTAATTTGATTAGCAGCAAAATAATTATACATTGGCAGTCAAAATTTTGGAAGAATGATTTTTTGAAGAATGATCACCACCAAGGCTGCATTTATTTGATCTGAAATACAGTAAAAACAGTAATATTGTGAAATATTCAGCAAAGCTAATTTTTTTGCGTCATGTGTCACATGATCCTTCAGAAATCATTCTAACATTTATTATTATTATCAATGTTGAAAAGAGTTGTGCTGCTTAAT